TGAATTGTACACTAAATATGTGGTTCCAATTAAATTCTTGTGCAATTTCTCAGTAAATAGATTGGATTACGTCATCATATTTGTTTAACAACTATTTCACCATAAAAATTTAACATTTGTCCATAAAAACCCCGAATATACTTATGAATAAATAAATACTTAATTGATAATATATGTTGTTGTTTTTGTTGTTATTTTTCGACGGAATATTATGTTGGTAAATAAATAATATTACCTCTTATTTTTAATATATGCCGTTTTGAGAAGTTGCACATTAATTAAGAATATTTTTTTTGTCAATAACAACTTTATTTAATGAAGATAGAGATGAATGTTTTGAAAAAAAGTGAAGTGTGAATATGAAAAGACGTAATGTGTTTATTAGCTAAATGAGGATAATAATGGAAAAATATGTACAAAAGATCCAAAAAAAATATTTATTTAGTTAATAGTTGATAAAGCTAGAATTACATTTAAAAAAATAGGAGGGAGTATGTATTGTTTACCAACAGAAAATTATAACGGAATATTTCATTGATAATTCAACTATGAACAATTCTGTTACAAATTAATACACTGGTGTTTACAAACGAAATTAATATGTTTGTTGTTATTTGGCAACGAAATATTTCTGTTAATAAATGATTATGATATGTTTGTTGCTCACTACCAAGGAAGATGTTCGGTAGTAAATAACAACAGACGAAAATTCTATGGAGTTATCGAATAATTTTCTTATGCAGTCATCCATCACTTAATATATTAATACTTGTCCAAAGTGTACACGTGTCAATACACTATTTATAAATATGTTTGGATGACTCCATAAGTCGTGTCATCCGATAGCTCCATAAGTGGGGGTAAAACTAGTTAAAGTTTTTCTATTTTGATTTGCTCCCCCCGCCCAATGAGAATGGATAAGAGGCTTGTGGTGTTTGCCTGAGGGGCAGGGATGGCTAGGTTTCTGGGGGCGAACTCGGGGCGAATAATAACAAAGATGATGTGAAAAAATAATGTAGTTTACCATTTCAGTGTGCTGCAAACTAGGAGCGGCTAATACAACTGGTGGTCACTTACTGGGAAGAAGAAGCTACTAAAAAAAAAAAGGCATACCGTTTCAGGAGAGCAGCCAACGGATTTTACTAAATTAAATAACATAAATAAACAAATTGATTGATACAAGAAATTCAGATCTCCAATAACTGCTAATATGACAGTGTCAGAGCCTAGGGATTTTCAGATATATACTAAAAAATATTGTTATACATCATGATATGATAATCATTTGGAGTAATTTTTATATTTTAGTTGTAAATTAGTACAATATCAGTTAACTACACGAGTTTTTGATAAAAAAAAATAATACTAAAAATTGTACTACAAGAATTGAAAAAGAAATAAAATTTATATTCTTATTTTGAAAAAAGAATCAATGAAATATTATTTTAAATTGCAGAAAACAATTTGTATGAAATAATATTTCATACAATAATATAAATAGACCAATTTGAGTATAATTTCATTGAAAAACAGAATTTCAACCCAATATATTAAAAATTGATTAACTTGTATATAATTTGGATTGGACATCCTAATTTCAACTTAAAATGTAATAGAATGTAGAATGTGTGTACATGACATACCAATTTTTGATTGACAATTTTGGTTAAAATTGACACACCTTGTATACATGGCCCTTAGATTAAGGCTATGTTTGGAGACCAATAAGCTAATTTAGCTTATTTTGTTAGTTTATAAGTTTTTTGTATTTAAATATGTTTCTTTTGGTAGGAGTAATTTTTTCAAAAAACTCGAGCTTATCTCATAAGCTTCTGGGTAGCTTTTCAAATAAGCATATGAAATTTTTATTTCAGCTAGCTTATCAATTAATTTTATTAAATATTTTTATCATATAAGCTAGTTTTTCAGCTATAAGTGATAAACTATAAGCTCGAAAAATACATACTAAATAAACTTAACCTAGTTTACCAGTTAGTTTTACCAAATATATCATTAAGCGAAATATCCCCAAATTAATAAATATTTAGAAAATGCAATACAAATTAATTGAATTCCAATTAAACTAATTTTAATACACCCCTCGAAATAACAATATACTTGCCAAAGTTTCTCCTCCGGCTAAGAGATGCTCCTATATCTAAGCATTATAGCACCACATAATTTTTCTAACATAAAATTTAACTACAATTTTACCAAATTCAACTTTCCTAATAATTATATTATTAGTATAAATAAATGATATCACTAAATCATTTTCACATATTACATCAACTTTAATTCATTATTTATTCATTCATATAATTTTAACAACACATCACTTCTAATGGCATTCTCTCCTACTTTTACAGAAATCATAATTATTATTTTTTAAATACTATTTTAGTACAAACTCAACACCCTGCTCGAACCTAACTGAATCAACTTTTTTTCAAAATCAATTTTGATTATCCAACAATTTCAATCAAATATATAAAATAACTTAATTTTATCCTATCACTCCTCACATTTTTTTTGGTACAAAGAAGGAGGCCAAAGGCCTAGACTAAAACACGACGGGGATAAGCGACCCCGATAACATCATGCCCGAGCCACTCGCCCAAACTGTGCGGAGGAGACGAGAGCTCATGGAAACCAATCGGAAAGGAAGACGCTAAGCCTGCTAGGTGGTCAGCCGCAAAGTTTGCTTCTCTGTGCACATGTCGAAATCGTGTAGTCCACTCCCTACGAAGCAACTGGCGAATGGCCTGGACCAAGGAATCGTTCGCCCCAAAAGAATTAGCCGGACCCATGATCATTTGAAAGACGCACTTGCTATC